TGTAATGTTTTGATAAATTCGACATGTTTTGAAAGTTTAAATTTGGCTTGAATTTTTGGGTGTTACAAGAGGAGTCGTATATACTTGTGACAAATTAGGGTTTCTATCTTTTAAATTAGTTAGGAGAATCATGAATTAAATGGCCTAATCAATGGTTTCCAAAACTAACAAGATTTGTCAATCTTACCATAATTGCTCATTAAAATTTGGATTTTTCATAATGAAACTAATTCAAATTTCCAAAGACCTTTTGGGGCGTTGGACATTGCCCCTTGGACCCTGCAAGGGGAGCGGCCCCCTTGACCCCTCGGTCTTATATATGCATGCACTCTGCATTCACTAAACATATAATATATAATACAAATGATAAGCCTCTTAGCTCACATATTAGTTCCAATTACACAAAATGTTTGGTGACACTAAAATCACCAACATTTCAAAGGTTAGAACGGATGTGGGATGACATCACAGTACAAAATTATGTGATAGGAAGACGATGTGTAAACATTGTAATTCAACATCCAACGGTGGGATATGTTGATATGCATATTAAAACATCACTTAGTGTAAACAAGTAACAATGTAACAGCCCAAAAACCATATAAATTTTTTCATTTTTAAAATAGGAATTACAATCATAATTTGTTTCCCAAAAATCCATTACATCATATCATGTCAAAATATCAGAGTATCAATATCAATAAATGTGGAAACTGTTGGAGAGTAAATGTTGCGCCATCAAGCCGGGACCTTCCCTTTAGTACCAAAAGTACCTGAAAACACCCAAATAAAGTGTAAGCAAAAGCTTAGTGAGTTCCCAAAATATCACATAACATACAATCATAGAATATCATGCGACATACATATAGTTGCCATGGGCTACTCCCATGGTCTTTACCTGGAATGACATGGGCTACCCCCATGGTCTGATATCCAAGTGCCATGGGCTACCCCCATGGTCTTCCATGCCATGGGCTACCCAGATGGTCTTCATACAAGTGTCACGGGCTACCCCCGGGGTCTTCAGACAATTAAATGCATAAACAACTGTCAATCCACATGCCAAGTAATGGGCCGACATTGGTGCATTC